AGCTAACAAACTTCACCCCACCAGTAGCCACAGCTACATTGTCTTTTACTTCAAGATAAACTCCTTAAAAGGGAAGATTTGATGGGAGCCATGGGAGTTTCTGCTATGTGGGAGGAGAATTCTGTTTAATTTGCAAAAAGAAGATGGAGGGGTTAGTGAAGCAGACAAGGGGATCCTAAGAGTTACTGTACTGCTAGGAAAAAGCACATCAGAAGTCACCCAAAGTAGCAGAATCTAGCAACAGATGTATTAGGAAACATTGCTTAGGTGTGCTTATGAGTTATGTCTGGCTCATAATCCAGGTGATTTAATTCTGTTGGTTACTATAGATTTGATAAATCATAGAATCATTTCAGTTGGAAAAGGCACTTAAGATCATCATGTCCAACCATCACCTAACACTACAAATCTGCCAATAAAACATGTTGCTTAGTGCCACGTCCACACATTCCCACAAGCTTCCAGTGATAGGGATTCCACCACCTCCATAGGCAGATTCTTCCAATGCCTGACTATCCTTTATGTGAAGAAATCTTTTCTGATACCCAATCTAAACCTCCCCTGGCACAACCTGAGGCAGCTGCTTCGCATCCTGTCAGTTGTCACGTGAGAAAGGAGACCCCCTTGTTAGAACCTCCTTTCAGGGAGTTGTAGAGAGTGAAGAGGTCTCCCCTCAGCCCTGTGTTCTCCGGACTAAACAGACCCAGTTCCTTCAGCCACTCCTTATAGGTCTTGTTTTCTAGCCCTTCATTCTTCTCTGCACACACTCAAGCAACTCCATGCCCTTCTTGCAGTGAGGGGCTTAAAACTGAACACAGCTCTCAAGATGTGGCCTAACCAGCACTGAGTACAGACGGACAATCACGTCCCTAGCCCTGCTGGTCATGCTATTTCTGATGCAAAGTCAGCCTTCTCGGCCAGCTGGACACACTGCTGGCTCCTTTCAGCCAGCTGTTGACCAGCACCCCGAGGTCCTTACCCACAAGGCTGTTTTCCAGCCTCTCTTCCCCCAGACTGTACTGCTGCATGGGGTTGTTATGACCCAAATGCAGCACTAGGCATTTGGCCCTGTTGAATGGCATGCAACTGAGCCCAGCCCATCAATTCAACCTATCCAGACCCCTCTGCTGATCCTGCCTGTCCTCATGCAGATCAGCACTCCCACCCAACTTTTGGGTCAGATCCAATGAGGGGACACTCAATCCTCTCAACCAAGCCAGTGATAAAAATGTTAAACAAAACTGGCCTCAGTGCTGAGCCCTGAGGGATCAGGGGGTCAGCAGCTGGATTTAATTCAATTCACAGTGACCCTTTGGGCTGTTACTACCACTTGCCTTGAAATGTTTGTGTAAACAGAGCAATCACTAACAAGGCAATTACATCCAGAGCTGAGTCCTGAATTAGTCACTCACTTTTTGTCCCACAGTATTCACTTCTTGGAAACAGTCACACTTTCCCCATGTTTGTGGCAAAACACAGAGATCGTGTGGAAAGGAGAGGCTGAAATGGCAGGTGGTGGGTAACCATTTTTGTACTCCGAGCTATCAAGATGATTGCAACACTTGTAAGCCCAGGAGGTCACATTGTAATACCTTGCTAATGTCCTCAAAGCTTTTCAGAGAGCACTATAGGGTTAAAATTAATCCTAGTACACACTTTAAAAAATCAGACCCCAACAGAATAAAGAGCCCCTGAGAGGTGAGCTGAGCTCTCACCTGCTACTTTTTCCATTTCCACGTGGAAGTAAAAGCAGGTGGGAGAGGAAGGCAAGGAAGTGGACCAGCCAGCACCAAGGTTCTGCCTGCCCTTGGCTGCCACTGTGTCATGTATCATGCAGGCAGGGGTCACAGCAGCTGGGGGGATACTGGGGACCTCCAGTCCAGCATTATTACTTCTGCCCAGTCAGGCGGTGTCTTCTGGGTGTATAATGAGAGAATACAAAGCTTACAAACATGTTTTGCATTGCTTATTCCCAGGGAACCCTGCTTCGGTTTTGGAAAAGAAAGGAAAAACAATACAATCTATGTGTGTGGTCACATCACGTGCTGCTATACATGGGAGGTAACAAAATGATGCACTGAAGAGGCAGGCATCATTGCAGAAAGTTAGTTAAATATCCACTGATGAGGTGAGCAGTCTTTGTGTAATTTGTAGGTAAATCAATGATGTGCAAACAAGAACAGTCTATTAAAAAGGAAATTATTTCAAATAAATAGATGGGGCTATCATGGTGATTTTTCATTCAAGTCTAGTTCAATTACTTTCAGTATCTCTGTGCACTGTGAGAAGAGCTAACAGAGAAATGGCAAAGAGCTAGAAAATGGGTAGCTTGCAAAGGCTGAAGAGGGAACAGAGTTGTCACTGTATAAAGACAAAATGATCTGTACTGAAGTTTGAACACAAAATAGTTGCTTGTTTTTTACATGGCACACTAATGAATTCACTCAGCATTACCACAAGGTGTTGTGGAGGCCACGAGCAAGAGGGGGATCTCACGGAGGGCAGAATGAATTCATGAAGTGAAATTTGATGGTGGCAATGATCACGGTATGGCTGTAGAACCTCGTAAAAGGCTGATACCCAGAGGCCAGGTGAAGTCCTGCCTTGTCTGCTGGAGGGTGGTCACAGCTGCCTGGCAGTGCAGTGAGAGGACGTGGCACCCAGGCTATCCCTGTGGTGATGCTGGGCACCTTCCCACAGGGGCCAGGCCAAGATCCATGATGAGGCAAGCCTGTGGTCAGGCACCAGCTGTGATTCCTAAAATCAAGTTTTCTTTTACATCATTATTTACAAATCACAATTTGCTAGATTTCACAACTGCTTGTGGGCTACTGGTTTTCTTTCCAAAGCAATCCCATACCCATTTCAGCAGAAAGATGGCCCATACTAATAGACACTTGCATACATACAGACAGGGATTGGCACAGAGTGAGCTTCCCAGTCTCTTCCAACCCAAGCCATCCTCATTTTGTGATTTAATATATCCTTGCACGGTTTTATCTGGAGTTTTTCCTCTTGCTAGATACCTGCCTAGCCCTGCACTGCAGGGGACAGGCAGAGGTTGCAGCACGTATCCATACAGACGTTCCCATGCAGTGGTGTGTCAATACGTGCTTTAGCCTGGTTGTTACTACATAAAAATCCCCAGAGAAAAACTGCATTTGGCACTACCGAACTCCTATCTGCGAATTGAGAACAAGGCACGCAGGAAGCCATAAGCCTTCGGGTTAACTGCTCCCGGGCCTCACCCTTCCCCCTTCTCTCTTGGATTCTGCTCAGCAGCACCGCCCGGGGCGGCACACACAGCAGAGTGCGGTTGGGGGGGGGGGGTTCACAGAGGGACCACGCGCTTGCTTTGCATGAGAAAAGCTTCAGCCGGGATACGCAGGGCAAGCTTCAGCGTGGGGAAGACCGTCCTCGCACGGGACAGAACGGAAAGAAAAGATGGTTAAAAGGGGGAGGAGAAGACCTGGGCTCCGTGGTTCGGGGAGGGCACGGCGAGAGCAGCGCCTGCAGCAGAGGGGGGGCGAAATCCCGGCCCGCCCTGCCGTCAAACGGAGGCGGAGTCCGAGCGAATCACCGCGTCGCGGGCGGGACGGGGCAATGAGGAGGAGCGCAGCCGGGGTTAGGGTTCAGTTCCAGCTGATTTTATTTCCTTCCCGAAGAAAACAAAAACAAAAACAAAGAGGTTATTTACAGAAGGTATATCGACAATCTGACAGGCAGTGAACGTGACATGGTTAGCTGGCATGATTTTTCTTTTTTTTTCCTCTTCTTTCCCAACGTTGCTTTGTGGGTGATCGTTAGACAAAAAAAAAAATAAAAAAATAAAAATAAAAATTCTACACAGCATATTGCACAGGATGGATGATCAAAAAAAAAAAAAAATAATAACAATAAAAGCGAAACCCTTAACAGAACCACCTCGTTCGGCAGACGTCCCCGTGCCTGTCATGTTATATTAACATACATAAACACACAATCTTCTTTTTTGCTTATTATAATACAGACTTAAATGTACAAAGATGTTTTCACTTTCTTCATCTTAAACACAACAGCTATAACCTGAATACATATGCTATCATCATGCCATAGGAGACTAAAACAATTATATTTAGCGACAAGTAGAAAGGATTAAATAGTCAAATACGAGAATGAAAAACGCAGTACATAGTGTCGCGAACTCAAACCGGCATTTCGATAGATCCAGTGGTTTAAAACGGCACGGCTTTGCTTCGAAAAAAAGTGCAAAAGATGTGGTTTACGAGTTAAAGGTACAGGATCCCTTTCCGCGCGGATGCTCCGGTTCCGCCTTTCGTTCTGGAGACGTTCTCACCCAAACGGCTTACCGGAGCCCTCCTCCCAGTCCCCTCCGGCCCCATCCGCTACGAGCGGGGCGCGGTGCGGGATGCTGTGCCTTTAAGTGCCTGCAGATCGGAGCGCGACGCGGGCGGAGGGGCGGGCGGGCGGCGATGTGCGCGCACCGCGTGTCCGGGGCCCTGCTGCCCGTGTCAGGAAATCCAAACAGCGATTAACACCGATTTACACCCCCTTTATATATTTTTTACAAAAATACACTGAGAAAATAATCGAACGTTTTTCATCTCTCTTCTTTTTTTTTTTTTTTTTCTTTTTTTGTGTGTGTGGTTTTTTTTTTTTGTCGTTTTTAAAAGTGTCAAAAGTCTACATTTAAATATAAAAAAATTAAAAGTTAAAACTCTAGCCCTTCCGTGAAGGAGACATAAAAACGGTGCGGGTAATAACGAGAACTAGCAAAAAAAAAAAAAAAAAAAAAAAAAAAAGACAAAGAATGACGGGCAGAAACGTTTGGCAGTATAAATAGGTCCAACTCGGAAACGGCATCCGCTCGCACGGACGGGACGGGACAGGGACGGCCGTCGGTGGGCACAGTCCTTCCACCCGCGGCCCTACGGACACACACGGACACAGCTGAGGGGAAATTTGGTCCTGAATTTCTGAGAGTCCGGCACGGCATTGAGTTGCGTTTGAATCCTTTAAAGAGTTAAGAGTGAAATAAAAAAAAAAAAAAAAAAAAAGAGCTGGTGATACTTTGTAGGAATCAAACAGAGCGCCATCTGTCCGCTTCGCATCTCCCTAACACTACGTTCTGAAACTGTTCCACGGTCCGACAAAAAAAACCTTAAAGACAGACAGGTAACATGCTCTATTAACCCACCATCGAGAGAATCCAACACCATCACGATTCCGAGAAAAAAAAAAAAAAAGAAACCACTACTGCTTTTTTTTTTTTTTTTTTCCTCGTGTTTTCGAGCGCCGCGACGGCACCTCAGCCCCCGACGCGAGCAGTGCGGTGAGGGCTCAGCCGATCCTCGTTTCCTTTCAAGCAGAGTTCAGGTCGCTCTTTCGCAGCGAGGGCGAGGACGACCCCCGCGGGAGCTCCGCTCCCTCCTTCCGCGCCGCACCGCGGTCCCTCTCTCAGTCCGTCCTCGGGCGGCGGCACAGCGGTTGGCGGCGTTCCCGCGGTCCTCTCGGCCGCCGCCGGCTTCGGGCCGCCCCGCCTCAGTAGGTGAACACCAGGTTGGAGATGCTGGACTCCAGCCAATCCCCCGAGATCATCTCACTTACCTCCGGCGTGCAGTAGTCCGGGAACTCAAAGTGCGAACCCGAGCCGGGCTCCAAGTTAAAATCCAGGTCCCGGTCGAGCGCGGAAGATCCGAAGCCGCCCAGGGACATGCTCTCGAAGCCGGGGCTGGGGTTCAGGTCCAAGAGGTCGTCCTCGAACTCGTCGTCCGACGACGAGGAGCCGGCCGAGGAGGCGGAGGACGAGTGGGAGGACGCGGAGGAGGACCGCGCCGTGGAGGGGGCGGGCGAGGCGGCTCTCGGGCCGGCGTAGCCGCGGTGCTCGGCGGGCGAGCGGGCGCCGGGCGGCGAGGGGCAGTCCCCGTCGGGCCGCGCCGCGCCGCCCGCCTCCTCGTAGAGGCTCAGCGGGTCGCCGGCCTCGGCCGCGCTACTGAGCGTGGGGCTGCCGGGCACGGCGCCGCCGGGGGAGCCCGAGGCGGCCGCCGCCGGCCCTCCGCCGCCGAAGATGTAGACGCGCTTCAGCTTCCTCTCGGCCGCCGCTTTGCCGGGCGCCGCCGGCGCGCCCCTCGGCTTGTACAGCGCCTGGTGCTCGGGCGGCGGCGGCGGCGGAGTGGGCGCGGCCGTCGGTTCGCCGGTGCCCGGCGGTGAGGCCTTGCCGCCCGCCGCCGCCTTGCCGTGGGGCTTGGTGCCGGCGGGGGAGGGCCGCGGACCGCCGCCGCCGCCTCCCTTCTTCGGGGCGGGTTTGGCCGTGCCGCCGCCGGAGCCGCCGCCCGCGCTGCCCCCGCCGGGCCCGGCGCCGCCCCCGCCCCCGCCGGCGGCCCGGTCCGCCTTGTCTGCGGGCTTGGCGGAGCTGTTGCCCGACTTCACCTTCTTCCTGGGCCGGTACTTGTAGTCGGGGTAGTCCGCCATGTGCTTGAGGCGCAGCCGCTCCGCCTCCCGGATGAAGGGGATCTTGTCGCTGTCCTTGAGCAGCTTCCAGCGCTTGCCCAGCCGCTTGGAGATCTCGGCGTTGTGCATGTCGGGCGACTGCTCCATGATCTTCCGCCGTTCGATCTGCGACCACACCATGAAGGCATTCATCGGTCGCTTGATGTGCCCGCTGGGCGTCTTGCACCAGCTCGGGTCGTCCGCCTTGCCGCCCGTCGAAGCGGTTGAGCCGGGTGTAGGCGACGAGGCGATGCCCAGCTCCAGCCCGACCCCGGCGGCCGAGGTCTCGGCGGCGGGCAGCGCCTCCGTATTCTCCGCCGTGCCCGTCTGCTGCACCATGGCTGCGGCCGCGGGGCTCGGCTCGGCGGCGCGGGGCTGCGGGGGGCTCCGGGCCGGCCCCGGGGCGGCTTCCACAACGGCGCCCGGCCCCGGCCGCGCCGCGCTCCCGCTCCGCGCGGACTTGTTGCCGGAGCCGCGCTGCAACGTGGGGCTCTGCTTTTGTCCTTAAACTCTTTTTTCTTTTTCTTTTTTTTTTTTTTGGTTTTTTTTTTTTGGTTTTTTGCTTTTTGCTTGGGGTTTGTTTCAGGGGGCGCCGCTCCGCCTCGCTCTCCCCTCAACGCCGCGCCCCCTCAGGGCAACCGCTCCGCTTCGTGCCCCGCCGGCCCCCGCCGCACCGGCAGCCCCGGGCTGGAGGGGGAGGGGGGAGGCGGCCCCCGGCTGCGGGACGCGTGGTGACGGCGCTCCGTGCGGCGTCGGCGGGGCGCCGTGCGGAGAAAGCACCCGAAGAATCAAAAAAATAAAAAAAAAAAGAAAAAAAAAAGAAAAAGGAGAAAAAAAGAAAAAAAAAAATAGCTAAAGCAATTAAAAATTCACGGCGGAAAAAGAAGCCAACAGCAACCCAAAAATTCACGGAAAAAAGACGATGCCGCAGAACGCCCGTGCAAAGCGCGTCCGTCCCGCAGGCAGCGCGGGCTGAGCCCCGTCCCGCAGCGCGCAGAGCGCGCGGAGCTCGCGGAGCCGCCCCCCGCCGAGCCGCGCCGCGCGCACGCCGGGCGATGCCCGCGCCCCCCGCACGCCGCGCTCCTCCGGCAGCCGCTGAGAGCGGAGCCCGCGCCCGCCCCGCGCCGCTTTATCCTTTCGCAGCCCGCGCCGCGGCCAATCGCGCGCTGTATCCAACGCGTCCGCGTGCCAAGCGCCGCCCGCCGCTTTCCGATTGGCGGCCGCCGCGGCGCGATAATAAGCGCCGCGTGCAATGAGAAGCGCCCGCGCTGACCTCATTCCCGGCGGCGGGGCGAACTCTGGGGAAGGGGCAGGAGGGCAGCGCCGCGCGCGCCGCCCCGCGCCCCGCCGCGCACGTGCCCGCGCCCCCGTCCCCGTCCCGCCCCGCGCGCCTCCCCCGACCAGAAGGGGTGGCGGTCGGAGAGGTGGTGCGAATGGAAGGCAGAGAGAACGGCGCAGTGTGTGAAATAACGCCACGCGCTCGCTAAAGGCACCGAGCGGCGCCGTGCCGCGCACCTGCACAAAGAGCCGCGCGGCGGCTGCGAGAGCTCCGAAGGCCGACGCTCAGCGGTCACCTGCACGGCCCGGGGCGCCGCCCGCGCCGCTTCGCCGCCTGAAGGGGTGCTGCTGCGTGTCCTCCTCCTGCCTAAAAGCTCGCCCCCCGCCTCTTGACGACGCCCTGTGACATCAGAGCTGCCCCGCAACTTCGCGCTGTGTGGCCGCTCGGCCTCCCGCTGCCCGCCCCCCCGGGCTGACACCCGCACTACGCGGCACGGCTCCGGGGCAGGGCGGACCGGCAGCGCCCGCGGCGGTTCTACCGGTGCTCCCGGCACTGCAGCGTGCAGCGGCACGAACGCAGCCCGCAGCCCACCTGTGAGCGGGGCATCCAGGGGCGCATCTGTAGGCAGCCCCCCCCCTTGTTTGCCTTATAGGTAGGAGTTTTCTTTCCAACTATACGGTGTGTAAGATGTTCACGCGTCGCTGCGCAGGTCAAAGGAGAACAAAGAACGAAAGCGATAGGCGGACGTAGAAATAAAAAGCTCGAGAGAGCGTTCCCATTCCGTCGTGCTTCAGTGCAAAAAGCCCTGCCTTCCAGGAACGTGTCTGTCCCCAGGTGAGCGGTCACCTCGATGCAAGCAGCCACCCCCATCTGCTCCCAGCAGTGCATGGGCACGGCGTGCTGTTTCCCATATGAAAGCTTCCCACATTTGTAAAAGCGCAATTTAGAATTGCTTAATAAAGCAATTGCAAGAATATGATGTGAAACTCTGTAAAAGCGTTTTATTACAATTTCTTGGCTGCTTCCTTGAAGTTAACTGCTTCCACTCCTAATCCTCCGACGCTGCGGTGAAAGTGCTTCAAGCTCCCCAAATTTTAAGCGCGGGTGTAGAATGTAAGCACTCAGCTTCCACCTAAAACGCACTTTTAAGAGCGCTGGCAACGCTTCTCTGCCGTTTAAAACTTGGGAAGATGGGAAACTTCCTCGTGTTCCTGCAGGCTGCAGCCCCGGGAGCGGAGGGACGCGAGGTGGCAGCGCTGAGCCTCTGCTCCTCGCGTCGGAAGCGCCGGGACCGCAGGGCCGGGGCAGCTCCTTCGGTCCTCTTCCTTCCTCCTACATCTTGTCCTCTGGACCCTTCACTGTCTTCCTAGCCCCGCTTTGGACGCTTTCTAATAAATTTCATAATCCTCCTACGTTCTGGTGCCCGTGTGCAGGCATGTTTTAAATAAGCAGCTTTGTATTTAAAAAAAAAAAAAAGAAAAAGAAAAAAAACCAAACCAACAAACACTTCTTATTGTTTTTAAGAAACACTGTGATTGTAAATGATGTTAAAGATATAACAGAAACAATCAGGAGGGGTTTTTGGAACCCTCCAGGTTTACAGCTGATTGTGCTAAAACAAGCAAGAGCTTGGGCTGGATGATGTCCCTTCCAAACTACTCTACCCTATGATCCTATGAATGTGTGAGAGGATGATGGATACTCTATATCTGTTGCTTGTGGAAACACTACTGAAATCTAGATCAGTAGAGATTCATTGTTTCCTGATTTTTCCTGCACAGCCACATTTCACTGGGTGTCATGCCATAATTTGGTCGATTCACCTTCCTGGGCTGCTCTTGTCTAGATGGTGGGTCCACTTGGATCCTGGTGCATTCTTTGGGATGGAGCCACACCTGCATCTCCCACCGTTCCTTGGACAACAGGCATTCCTTTGCCCCACTCTGCTCTCTGGTCTATGGACACGCCTGAGCTTCACGGTGTTCTCTATATGATGGAAACCCCTCTATCCTGCACCACTGTCTTGATAGTAGGCATGACTGGGTCTGATGTCATTCTGTTGGTAGTTGGCATGCCTGCACCCCATGCTGTCCTCTTGGTGGCTGGCAGGCTTGCTCCACACACTGTCTTCTCACTGTTCTCTGAATTTGGGGCATGCCTGTGCCACACACCATTCTCTTGATAGTGGGAATTCCTGTCTCCCATGCCTTTCTCAGACTAGTAAGTGCGCCTTGGCCCCATGGTGTTTTCTGGCCCATACCCACACCTGTGCTTTGAGCCTCTTTCTGCTCAGTCCTTGTGCACGTGCCGCTTGCCATCAGGCACATGATTGCTGGCCACTGCTCTCGTGCAGTTGTGGCTCTTGTAGCTCCTGTTCCACCTCCATAAGAGGTGCTGTGCCCTGATCTGCCAGGAACCCCGTCTTTCTCACTCCATACCCAGGTGGGCAGCCACTCGCCTTCCTGCTCTGGCTCCTCCCCCCTTCACACTTCCATGTATCAGAAGGCCTAAGCTCAGCAACTGGTGGATCAGCTGCCGGTGGTGCTGTACTTACATGGTGGTGGCACTATGACAGCAGCTGATGGATGTGGCCAAACCTGGCTGTGTTGGGTGTGGGGAAAAAGGGGACAAGGGCCCCTTTCTTTGGGATGGCTCCCCTGCGCCATTTTGCTGTGCAGAGAGAAAGTCTGTCCTTGGACACAGGCACAGGCCCGTGCTCTCACCTGCCCAATGGACACTGTTGACTCTCGTGTCTGACCAGCCTTTCAGTGAAAAACCTTTTCACTGTTAACACCAGTCCTGACCCTCACCTGATGCAGCTCCATGCCGTTCCCTGGGGTCCTGTCCCTGCCACCAGAGTGCAGAGCTCAGCGCTGACCCTCCTTTCCTCTTGTGAGGAGCTGCAGGCCGCCATGAGGCCTCCCTCAGCTCCTCTGCTCTGGGCTGAACAAGACAAGGGACCTCAGCCGTTCCTCGTACGCCTTGCCTCACCATCTTCATAGCCTTCTTTGGACACTTTCTAAAGGTTTTTCCTCTTACATCATGGTGCCCAAAACTGCAGACAGTGCTTGCCCCAGAAGCATGGCCCAAGGCTCAGTGTTTGAACCAGCTGCATCAGCTAAAACCTCTTGAGCACACTGAATTAACACTGCAGCTCCCTCCCCTCTCTGAAGCTGATGGCTGCTAGTGCCCAGTCTCACTGATCAGCACCTCCTGCACTCGGTGTTTTCCACACCCTCTGCTCTGTAGGCTGTGAGAAACAGTGCAGAGTCCACTCTGGATTTCTGTAAGCTTTCATTAGTTGATTAATTGGGGAAAAAAGGGTGCAGACAGGCATGGAAGTCCCTGTGGAGGCTGAATTCACCTGTGAGCAGCAAGGCGGGTGCTTCACCCAGGCACATCTTGAGCAATAGCCTCAGTTGGTCACTTAGCAAAGTGAAATGAAATATTCCGGCTAATTAAAGCAATTCCCGGGACATCTTGCTTCCTGTCAGTCTGTGACAGGCATCAGCGTGGTGAAGAAAGACAGCATCTTATATCCCTTAAAAAAACAAGGAGCATATTTCTGTCTGCAGCTGAAATTCATCTCTATGACATATATTTTGCCTCGACATTCTGTGCTGCATTTTAAATAAGTGTATGGTGGCGATTTTAGCCTTCTTGAGTTGGAAATGACAAGGCCAAACCACGAGTGCCTTTTCCACCATCTTTCTGTGCCCATTTTGATACAAGGATTACAAGGTTGATGAGATACTGGTGATAAATAAGGATGAAGAAGCCTGGCTTTACAAATAACGTGGTAATAGCATATCTACGTGATCAAAGATGAGTGTGCCTAGAGGTCAGGTGTAGACTGAGGCACTGAAGTGGGCCCTCCTTCATCCTGTGGGTAAGAAAGAAACTCCACTGTGCAATTGCATCATTCACATCCATACTGCTTTTATTCAGTGCAATTTACAAACACTTTAAACCCTCTGCTTTCTTTGTTAAGAAGAACTTTTATTGCTCAGAAGTGTTTTACAGAGGATATCATTTACTCAGGAGTGAAAATTTGTTGCCT